GGTGTTAACCTGTTGAATGCAACAGAAACTTTATTTCATGATTGGGCGTATGTTGGCTGATGGATCTTATTAAATTTTCAAAAATAAATAATAAATACAATTACAGTCAACATTATCCCACTACCTCGTACATCTCTTACAAACGGCGTATGATATTAGATACTTTGAAAACAAATGTTATTGACAATATTAATAATTCTGAAATAAATAATCAGTTAAGCTTGTTTGAATTGATCGATTGGATTGCAGAGTGTTTTGTCCATCAAAGGTATTTGAAAACACGAACAGTTCACAGTTATTCCAGAGAATAGAATAATATTTAGTGTACAGAACTAAATGCCTATAAACGAGGTTATGGAGGCAACTGAACAGCAAATTTTCGAAAAAAGGTTTTGATACAGACCCGCGACTACTGAATTGACGCATAATGGAAACGAACATTGTTCAGTAGAACTGGCATTTCCTTATATTTCCCACTGTTAGTTTTGTTAGGTTTTGAGCTCAAGAAATAGTAAATTATTCTACCACGTGATTATCTCAATATAATACGTAATTAATTAATTAATATAAATTTACAGTTATTTACTAATTATATCAATTTACATATTTATTTGTATAAATAATGAAGTGTCTGATATTTTTTATATAATTTCAAATAAAACTGCATTATCAATGTAAGAAAAGTCAAAGCTATTTCATCAGCCTCAAAAACTCCACGAAAGGCAATTATTTCTTTAAACAAGCCTGCTACACGAATAAATATTAAAAGCACACATTACTTTAGTTAATCAACAATGTATATTTAATGTAATCGCAAAAGTATTAAAGAAACAAGATTTTTAGTTAGTCGTATAAATATGGAGTAATATAACTAGAATAGAAAAAGTTCTGCAATGTTGCGGAAAATCGAATTCGAGATTTTATTGGAAATACGTGTTTAGAGTTCTTCTGATACCCAAAAAGTGTTGTGTTCCAAAACGTTAATCAATCTGCTTGCCTATGAATAACACTAGCGCGTGAACCATTCGTATGATATTTTTCAAAATTAATATTCAAAGCTCTAGAATGTTTACAAAAAACAACACTTTTTATATTGGCCTTATACTTGCTTACTTTATACTGACCTTACACTTTCTAAAAAGACAATTTATTGTAATTGCGCACCGGGATATGGCGAATTTTTCTCAGAAAACAACTCTTATTGCCAGGACGTGATAACAAAAAAATTGATAAATTTTGTTACTATAGTCACTGGATAGTGCAATAGTGCATAGATACTAGAGTGAATAGATGCTATAGTGCAGAATTTATCGGAGTTGCATTACGGTAGATTTTTGCTTTCACTTGTACATTCATGAAGTGAGCCTTCTTTATTTTTTACAATGTATGGGTATTTTCAAAAACTTTAATAAAAGAGGCGTCAATTCATTCTAAGGAAAAATAATTTTAAGCATACTCCGCAAAGAAAAATATTATAACTATATCTCAAAGAAAAAAAATGTCATATTTAATAATGCATGACATTACTTTTCAATAATTTAGTATATTTTTGATTTTATGGATTAGCACCAGGGACAACTAATTTGTTAAGTTTGTTAATGTTTTGAGACATTTCGTCAGATTTTAACGATGCTTATAATAATGCTCAAACGTAAGGGTTACATGAAATCAAATACTTTGAACACTTAGTTGCGATTTGCTACTAATATCTGACAAATGTTCAACATTGTGCTGTATCCACTGAACGCTTTACAATCACGCAAACTGTTCAAACTTCTGGAATATGGAACTTTGAGCCAACATCGTAATGTCATAAAACACCATAAACTTTTCATTTTCAATCGAATTTCGAGAGAAACTCAAGCAAACTTTATTATCCGTCAACATTTTCCCGAGGAAAATCAGAGGGGCTTGGAGCACTTAGGAACTTTGGACTTGGGAGTTCGGAAAGCAAACTGGGCGCAGGGAACAGTTGGCCACCTACGCTGTATTGTTTTATTACAAACAGAAAATCTGAATCTGCGTTGGTTAATCTCAGTTGGTGAATCAAATTGAAAGTTAGGTGATAAACGTGTTGATGAGATATGATGGATGATAGGGAAACGGTGAAGTGACGGTGTGGGAAACGGAAGTAGAGCGAGGAAATAAGCCGGGAACCCAATTCCTCTACCCCAAATTCCATCTGGATCGACCGGAATAGAAGCCTCGATCACAGCGGAGAAAAGTTAGCAAGCTACGCTGAAGGTCACCCACTTATACAGGATTCCCAATCTTCCTACGTTTCACCCAACCTTTACGGGATACAGACCTAGTCTCCGAGCGTCAGGATAGTAAAATAACAGGTGATGCGATCAATTCAATTTGTAAAGAAGGTGGAAGAGTAAAAATTAGTTGTTTGGGGAGCGCTGATGATGAGATAACCGCCTCGAAACAAAACAGAATGTAAGATCTGTATTTAGTGTAAACACATTTTAATTGTGAAAGATTACTTTTTTTCACCTACCCATATGGATTTCTTCAAGATTTATGCTGTAAACACCGAGTTTACTGTAAAGAATGTATTTGCAAGTAATCTTTCTTTAACTTCAAACACACACACAACACCCATCAACATACCCCCATCCATGCACCATATATATTTTTACTTTGTTTCAAGTTTAGAGGCGAATATTGTAAATTATTTGAAGGTAGGCTTGCTAGTGGTGATACCTTGTGAAATTGCCTATTCTTTACAATTATGAAGCTATAAATTTATAGATTGCGTGATGAAGTTATTTCACTTCCTCCGTACATAGTATACGCAGAGAAAGTACTGTAATGCTACAGAGAAAGGAAAAGGTGTGATAGTAAAGCACGCGTTTTGAATGCAATGCGTGTGCATTGTATCGTAATGCACACGCTTGTGATACAAAAAAGCGGATCTTTCTAGTTTTAATACGTACCATAATACTCTCTGGTTTTCGCAGAACAGTGTAAATCTACGTGTGCGGGGCCATTGATATCGTAAAAGTTGTTTTTGTCAAAACGTCAATATGTTCGTCTGTGGACAACAACATCACCTAAACCGTTCTCAGGATGGTCTCCAAAATTGCTTCTGGATATAAAAAATTTCAAAGGGAACGTTTAATTTTGGGTGTATTTTACATGAAGCCATTAGAATATTTTCGAGAGTTTTTGAAAAAAAAAGATCCACAATTTTTATTTATTTTTTCTCTCGAATAGAGCAAGAAATGGTTCTTTAATGTAATTTAATTTGATCAAGCACAGATCTGTGAACGGTGTCTCATCCTTCGTTGTGGTGGCCGCGGTAAATATGGAATATTACACTAGTTCAGGATGGTCTAACTGGCGGTCGGCGGGCCACACTCGGCCCGCGGTGCCCATTATTATGGCCCGCGAAAGGTCGTGAGTCGAAAATTGAAGTACCTGGCATCAATGTCCAGCGATAACATTATGCGCCCTGCGGGGGTCAACTAGCCTTTAATATAAAAATTGGTTGTTCAGATTTAAAAATTTTTTTCGTGTCAATTCAGAAATTCAAAATCATCCAAGTGTTTCACTGCGTTAAGCATGGTATGGCCTGATATCACGCATGGTTCCATCTCCTAGCCCCCGTTTCAGCGTAACCGTGGAAACTACCGGAATCACCTATTCGGGGCAGTCAGGTGCGGATCGCCAGAATAATTAAAAACGCCCCGCAACCATATTAAAGATTTTTGTTGTGGCCCTTGAGACCTTGCAAGTTGGACCCCCCTGCACTAGATGAACATGCCGAACAATTTGCGGTCACAATAATACATACGTAACTGAAAAAGCGAGTCACTGTCTCACAAGCTGTGGTAGCCCACCTACAGAGACGGCCTTTTGATTAAGTAAGTTTTAAGAGTCCTTCAACAGCAATGGTCTGAAAGGGTTGGATGTGAAGGGAGCGGGAAGAGAAGATCGCGCGCGGTCCGTGGACCATTTTAGAGAGTACTGATTCTGTATGTGCTGATAGTGACAACGCGATCAACGAAACCACTCATCAAAGTAAGAATTCGATTCTGGCAGGCGGCGTAGGATATTGATTCTGACAGGAAGCAAAAAATCATTGATGTCCAGACCACGCTCACCATCGAACTCGTAACCTCCCAGTCACTGGCATACTCGACCATAAGGCATTGCCTCTTCCCCCGCCATTCTCGTTGTTGGTCACACCGGTCGAGGGAGCACCACCTACCTACTGGCGAAGCTCCACTTATAGAGAAGGATCTACGTACCAAACAAGGCGACCTACCGGAGAGGCCCCACCTACCGAGGCCGAACTACGTACTTAGGCGACTCCACCCACTGAAACGGCCACTTACCATGCGATTCACATGCCGAGGTGGACCCAACTACTGAGGCGATCCTCCTGCCGAGGTGGACCCAACTACCGAGGCGATCCACCTGTGGAGGTGGCTCAAGTACCGAGGCGGACCCAATTACCGAGACGGATCCAACTATCGAGGCCCATCCACCGAGGAGGCCCCCACCTGCCCAAGCAGGCTATCATTTTCATCGGCACCGAGCCCCAGCTGCCGTTACTCTTCAGTGAGAGTTCGACATCATTGAGAACTTCCGTGTGAGACAGCCAAAAGAAAAAAAAGGCAGCCGTAGCGAGCAGCTGCGCTCAGCGCTCCACTCCACGGCGGCGGGGCGTCCGCTGGCCGAGGTCGAGGGAGAGGCCGAATGACAAGAGCGCAACGGGAGCCGGGCGCGTCAACTCGCGGACAGCGGCGCGCAGGTAACGAGAGCTCGCGAGGCGGAGGGGGGCGGTGAGAGTGCACCGGAAGCGGGCGCACGCGGACGCCCCCGCCCCAACCGTGAGCGCCCCGCTGCTGACCATCGATCGTCAAGACGGCGCCCTTCCCCCGCCTCACGCCCCGCCGCGATCGTCACCGGACAACACCACGCCTCACACAACCCTAATAATCTGGCACTTCGGCTCCCCCTCCCCACCGTCTTTCGACTTCACTCACCCCCACACACCACCACCACCCTCCACACTCGCACCACCACCACCACCACCAACACACCACAACACAACAACAACAGCACAAAACGTGACCACAACCACCAACCAACTGACACAACCACCACCAACACACACCACAATAACACGACGCCAATCCACCAACCATGCTCGCCGCCGCCGGCGTCACCATCACCATCACATCACCCATCACACACCACCCTAACAATCGCACTTCGCGCCTCAACCATCTTTCGCCACCGCCCACGCACCATCACCATCGTACATCGACTCCGCAATCGCTCCGCCAATCGTTCCCTTCACCACCAACAATCATTTCCATCTCCGCCGCTCTCCATCGCCCTTTCCACGTCACCACCCCATCCCACCTACAAGTTCTCCAACCTCGCTCCCTCCCACGTCTTCGGCCAACTGCCGCCACCCGCAACCGGCCAATTTCTGAGTGTGACTTACTATCTCCACCTGCGCCAATCCGCACCTCCGTAGCCACTGCCGCTCGCCCCCATTCCCCTCCCAAAGGATCCACTCCTCGCGCCGCGGAAACGCGATCATATTGCACGCGGGCCGGGGGCGGGGGCGGGGGTGGGGCTATCGGCGCCTCCGCCCCCCTGATAACAGCACGCCCGCCGCGGTTTAAAGCAGTCCGCTTGGGGCTCCGGACGCGCCCGCCCACGCACTGGCGGCGCCCCCTTAAATATGGAGGGCTCTGTACAAGGGGACTGAATGCGCCAGGAATTGTTCGGTTCGCAGGAAACTGTAGGAGCAACCCCTCTGCAGTTGCCACCCGAAGATAGGGATTATAAAACTTGTACAAATTCACTTCTTGGGTTTTAGAATGCCGGTTAATGCATTTCCAGAATTTTTTGTTGCATGATTTCTTTCTGGGATGGGGATGGTTTACGATTGTCCGTATTATGGGTTTATCGGATTAAATAACGAGACTTCGGTAGAAAAGAAGATGCAGTAGAGCCGCATTCTTGAACTGAAAGCTCGGAAGCAAACACATATTGCGTCGAGTGCAGGCCACACAATGGTTGGGATGCGCAAAGCAAATGCTGTCAACGGTTTGCAACTGATTCAACATAGATTCCGTGCTATGCATACCGATTGCTGAATGTCTTGATGCATGTCTGAAGTGTATACATGCCCGTATGGGACGAATAGAAGAACTCTACAGTAAAGTTTATTGTGAATCCAGTATCGTAAGTTCAAGTGGAAAGAAAAGTAAACGTATGTAGAGTGATTTGGTGCACTTTGCTTAGAAAGGAGAAGACTTCGTCATCGCTAGTATCAGAACAAATCATGCATTAAAAGACAATTCAACAAACAGAGATCATAATGCTTGGAGTGACATATTCATATGCGAACAAGGAAGACATTTGAGATTTTGTGTTTGTCCTGAAAAAAAAACAAACTATTCTAACGGAATGTTTTTGTTATTAGAAATGTTGACTTTGCCAGTTTTGTATTTTTTATTTCATATTTTTCATTTTGCACTAATATTACCTAAAGAATTAAAGACTTACATCTGAAATAATAAAATAATAATAATAATCAATTCACACGAAGTAAATGTAATAAAATATTCACAAACGTGTAAAATTACACAAACTCGTTAACTTATAAAAAAGGTGAAAACGTAGAAATTCTTTCCGTTATAAACAAAATTAATAAACGTGTTTTTAAGATATTCATAGAAGTTATTCTAGTTATTTGCGAAATAAACATTGTAATAAGATGTTTCAGTGGGAATATAATACGTTTTATCAACTTGTTACATTACGATGTATTATAAAATAGTTATGACTTAAATTTGACTATTCATTCTGCAAAAGCCGTGTTCTAATAATTCTTATTACTAAACTGAATATACAGTTGTTAAGTAGTAGCCTACAACAGCAAAAATGATGCTGAACAAAATCTCGCAAAACAGTTTCTCAAAAAATAGCATGAATAGTGCTCAACAAAAACAAATAAACTACTATCATATTTTAACAAAAACAGCCACCACGAATACTTAAATAACATACAATAGTGTATAAAGATTCGCAATATAATAGTTCTTCACAACTAAGAATATCAAAAAAGTTGCGCAAAATAATCCAACACGCGAGTAACAAATATTTAAAGGCTGGCGACCCCTCCTTGGAGTCCTACTGATGCAAAACTTTAGCTATATTGTAAGCAGTGACGCACTGAATATGAAAGTACTGTTGGCACACGCAGTATTAGAATGTGTAGAATAAAACAATCAACTGTTTGAACTTGCAGTCAAAATCGAAACTGTTTTATTGTTTTTGGATTTACCCAGAGTTCTCGGGTATCCAAGTAAACCATCCTACATGTCTGGTACCCCTGTACATCTGTCACATGGTTGGAGACTATTGTTTTCAGTATGTATTATGCATAATTTCCCCTTTATGCGTAAATTCAAACATATAAATATAAATTAAGTTATTCTTGATTTATTCTGAGAAAACAGGAGAGTATTTTCACTTTCTCGTCTACTACGTAGTACGTACGTTGTGAAGAGAAGGTATGGTATTTTAATTTTCCAATCCTCCCCCCATGAAAATATTGTATTGTACGGCCTTGATATCGTAAAAGTGGATAAATAATTAATGTTATGTAGATCCTTGGTATCGTAATATTGGTTTCCGGAAAACTGTTTGCCTGTCCGTCTGAACGCGCCGTGTTAGGATAGGTGAAACAATACAATGCAATATTTGCTGTCTTCAGTCAAAATACAATCTGTAGAATTGATTTTTGAATTTTTTCCGAGTTCTTGGTGTCCAAAGACACCACAGACATCTCTCACATAGGTGCAGGCTGCTTTGTTTTCTTTCAACTTTTGCGCGTATTGGAAACTAGCAATACAGAGAGAGCCATGGATTTTTGAAACACTTGTGTTATAATATTGTTATTACGAAACGATGTTCGTACTGTAAAGTTTGACACTGCGTTTCGATTTTATTTTAAATAATTAAGAGGATAAAATCATTTACGTACTATACGAAAGTTCTCTTTAATAATATTGTTGATAAACGTGAAAAAAATTCATCTATGTTCACATCTGGATTATTGTGGTTATTGCGAAAAAGAAGTTATTTCAATTATTATTGATATTGCGCTTGGGGTGAACAACAACTTATATATATATATATATATATATATATATATATAAAGATCTTCTACGATTAAGTGTACGAAGAATTTACGTAATGTACGCGTAAGAAGAATGCAGGTTTCAAAGTTCTAAGCTAATTAAAATAATGTTTACAATTGCACGTCCACCAAACGGTGCATTAATGCAACATACTAACTCTAGCACCATTATGTATTATTCACCATTCTTCCATCAGTTCCTGAACTTCTTGACACAAGTTTTTCACTTCTCAGAAAAAAAATAAAAAAACACATGGACCGGACTATGCACTTTCATGTTTTACAACGTCACTTCCCCCTCAAGCAGAAGTAACAAAGTTTAGCACGACTCGAGTGCTACCTTCCCTCTCTGCATTCTTTCCTTTTAGCGTAGTACACGGACTGATCACTCCGACTATAAATCCATTTCGATCCGCAGATAAATGTCTCCCGGAGTGGCTTGGGGCGAGCGTTGCGGCTCCCGGGTGGAAAGGAGAGACATCGATTTATTAAACACGTCAGGGCGGCACGGAGCATTTTGCAGGGGTAACCGAGTGAGACCAGGAAGGATGGAAGTTGATGGTTATACTTGTCACGTGCTCCTCCTACACGAGAACCAGCATGCACACTTCTCGGCCTTTGAGATTTAAACATGTTCTAACACATTCAGGGGATGTAAATGACGCAAAATAGGTTGAGAATAGTCTTTAATTTTGTCTCACTTTCACGGTATTGATTGGAATCCAAAATTGTCTAAAGATAATGACCTTAAAAAATGGAAAATGTGAGATTATGAAACCTGTTTAAGTGCTAGATGCTTTTCATTTCCTTTTAGTTCACTAAAGTAGATAAAGTGTAATGCTGCAGTACAAAGTGCCAATTTTTCAACAGAACATTTTGTTGGTTCCCGCTACCAAAAAGGACGAATCATTGCTACGATATTTAGCAAGTTACTTTCTCGGATACGTAGTGTAGTAAGAACCCGTGTTTTCTAGACCCACGTTACTCTAAATTAATTTTCGGCATTAAGGTTGTATATCTGCCCGTCTGTCCATTCGTTCGTCGCTTTATCAGTCCTTTCGTCCATCCGCCCATCTGTCTCTGTCCGTCTCTGTCTGTCTGTCTGCCGTCTTCCGATCATTTCGTTGGTCCGTTGCTCTGTCGATCAGTCGGTGGACTATCCGTCGGCCCCTCTGTCTGTCCTACTTTCTATGAACTAGAGCTTAATGAATACAGAATTTTCGGTCCCTTCACATTATTTTTTATTATTGCTTGTAAGTAAATGTAAAATATATGTTAGTAATTTATCATTCTTATCACTGAATGATTCACAGGATGATATGTGGTTCATCATCACTCCCGAATTGTCTGAAAGACGAATAAATCAAATTTTGGGTTTCCTGCCCGTCTCTCCGAGGATAAGCCACTGAGGACGAAACGGCTGAGAGCGCAGCACGGCCGTCGAGGCGAGAGCTGTGGAGATCCGTCACGCGCAGCGTTTGCTTTGGCAATGCACAGTGGTCTGGAAAGGGCCCAAACGCGTGCACAAGACTCGCGAAACACGTGCATTGCAACTATATGCAACTACATGGGTTTACTACAATAGACATTTAAGAAATAAATATTGTAACTCATCTTATTCCAACGTGAGATAAGAGAAGCATAAGACAGGGCCGTTAGATTAAGTTTAATGACGAATCGAATTGAATAATAAGTTACGTCATGAACACCGTACGAAGTTGTATCTACTTTGAACACATTCTAAAGAACTATAATTTTCGTTTAAATGTTACTATTGTTCTTGCAAAAGGATATTGATTGATTTTGATAGGAGGAGTGAAGGCGATATATTATTAATTTTTACAGTATTGACAGTAGTGTATTTTTCCCACATATATAATGCAATTTTAAGCGGATGCTATTGTAAAGGAGGAGGTCGGGGCAGCTGACCTCAATGGGAATATTTTAGATGGTATTTGTTTTATAACATAGAATATCATTTTTCTTGGGGTGTTTTTGATGTTTTCTTTCAATTAGCTGTTTAATATTATTAGTTTAAACAATTTTATATAACCGTTAGCGCATATGGCTTAATAAAAATACAATATAAAATATGCGAAAAC